CATCACATTCTCAGCTGCATAGCTTTGTTGACTTCAATACTTCAATTAATAAGGATTTGGTCTATTGGTTTTCTCTCAGATAAATATTAATATACTCCTCCTGTCTCAGAACAGCTCTCACTGGTATCAAAAGCAGAAAGGAAAAGTGAAATGAGGATCTGGCAAAGCCTATTGCTTTTTCAAATGTTGTTTCCATTCTCCTCCTTCTGAATTTTGCATTACAGAACTTGAGTTGCTTATTTTATACAATTGTATGATTTGGCAAATAAAGAAAGTGGGTTTTCATGTTGCTTTCATTATGTTGCATGTAAGTCATTGTGATAGGTCTGCAGCTGGGATCTCCAGCTGCAGTAGATCATAGAATCATAGAATGCTTAAGGTTGGAAGGGACCTCAGAGGTTATCTAGTCCAACCCCYCTGCACACACAGGGTCACCTAGAGCACAGGGCTGCGTCCAAGCGGGTTTTAAAGATCTCCAAAGAAGGAGACTCCACAACCTCTCTGGGCAGCCTCTTCCAGTGCTCCATCACCCTCATTCCTTCCCTTTCATCATCTCTTGTGCATGATGACTATACCGTGCTCAGGATCTCCCCAGGGCTCAGACGCTATGGAAGGTTCAGGTTTCTACTCTGGAGAGGTAGCTTGGGCATCCTTGGTTATGTGGTGAACTCTCTGTGCTGAAGATCTCTTTGTGGAGGAAGAGGCTTTGGTGGATTTGGTGACATTTTCTTGGTGGCTCCTATGAGCACCGTGTAGAAGGTAAATTTATCTCCTTTCCCCTGCAATGCCACACTCTTCTGTGTTTGTGCTGCTGAATATAATGACTTAGCGTTAGCACTTTTTTTTTTTTTTTTTTTGTCTGTAAGACATTGTATACCTTTGGTTGTAGAAATGAAGTTTTCTATGAAATGCCTGAGCTGTAAGAGAGAGCGGTTTTGCACAATTCAACACAGCTGTGGCATCATTGTGCAATGCAGGTGGGAACAGTAAATTGAAAGGTAGTAAGCTCTTGATCCATACTGCTGAGAAAACAAGTAGCTGGTGTAATGTCCATGAAAGGAAAGTTTCTGAGCTAGTTTCTTAGTAAAGGGCAATGAGAAGGCTCATATGGGAGAGACCAGTTACTGCTGTGTATAGCCAGTCATGGTGATTTCCTTATGATAAAAATATATCACCAAAACGTAGGTCTTCTAAGTTTCATTAGTTGAATTTCATCTGTTTTTAATAAAGAATAATTTAATGTACTATGCCTTACCTAAAGCAGGTTTGATTGACTTCTTTGTTCTCCACTTTAATCCAAATGAAAAGGCATTTACTTGCGCTAATTAATTTGTGCTAATGAACATTTATTGACTCATCCTTCCATATTTCACTAAAATTTGAGGAGTACTCCAAATTAGGTACAGTTTAGCGTATTAGCAAAAAAAAAAAAAAAGAAAGAAAAAGTGTGGTGTGTGTTTTAATCAGCCCCCTAAAAGGTTAAATGCTTACCTTAAAGAGAAGCACTTAGGAAATTAGAGGCACTGACTTCAGGCTGCTGGTAGGAGGAAAGCCTTTGTTGTCAGCTTGTTTTGCGGCTCAGCCGTGTTTGTGGCACTGGCTATTTACAGCCATCTATAGTCATATACCAGTTTATTAAATTGCTTGTAGAAATATTGCTGCAGCTGAATGAAGCAATCTTTATCATGCCACGAGTGATGGTAGGAGCCACTTCAGGCTGGGGAAATTGTTGATAAATATCACAAATAAGAAGGAAAAGAGGAAAAACAGCTCTGTCCAGAGCAGGAAAAAAGGGCACATTCTGTTGCTGCTGCCCTATGCAGAGAAGTCCTCGTAGTACCTGGGACAAGATGGAGAACATCAGAGCTTGGCTGAGGCTCTGCATCTGTGGAGGAGGAAAGGGAAGTTGTCAAGGARTGGGATTTTCAGCAGAAGGGTTGTTCATCGTCCCCGTGACCTGCTAATCTAGAACCAGACAGAGGTTCTTCTCTGATGGTTTCCAGTTTCCAGTTTTTGCCACTGTCCTATTTCCAATTTTTGCCTCCGTCCTGTTTCTAGTCCTTGCAACAGCACCTCCAGTGCTGCCTGTGTGGTATCACTTCATGGGAGGGTCATAAGATGTTTCCTTCATATCTTTTCTATCTCACTCAGATACCAAGTGGTTTCTGGCCTTGCAGGTCCAGCCTGAGCAGATGTGCATTTTGTGAAATCAGCATGAGAGCAAAAACAATCCATGTCCTCAACTTCTGAGGTTTCAACAGTGATTATTCTTCTTCCCCTAAGGAACCTCAAATGACCCTCATCCCAGTTTAGAGAGATTCAAGTAGGAATATGGCCCAACATGCCACGTTGAAGAGGAGAGTCACTCCTCCTCTTGGCAAGTACTTGCTCAGACTGGATACATGCTGTGGTTGATGGCAGGAYAGGCAGTTTGCCAGCAGACTGTGTAGTAGTGGAGCATCTGGCTTTGGGTTTGGGGGAGGTTTGGTGTCATAACACTGCAGGAGCTTCTGGAGTGAGGGAATGAGAAGGAGGAAGTAACTCTGGTACGGAAAATACCATCATGAGAGGCTGAGAAAGGAGAAATCATCCAAAAAAGTGACTCTGTTAGGACAACAGGCTTGAGAAGAGCAGAAAACTTCTGTTCTATATATGAACTTAATCCATACAAAATMCTGATGGATTATGAGAAACCCTCACTCTGTCTCCCTTTCCCTTCCCCACTGTTGTTCCCACGTTGAACATGTGGGATACCAGGAGAAGAYGGAAACGTGAATAGCAGTGTGAGCCAGCAAAACTGTGCCAGGTGCTCAGTACACTTGAAAAGCAAGTGTTTACAACAAAGCCAAGCAATACAAACCCAATGATGCTTACTAGTGTCCTACACTCCAGGCAGGCTTCCGAGCATGTGGGAAGCGAGCTGGAAAACGGCCAGCACAGATGTGCTGATATGAACCTTACTGTTTAGTGTTTTACTCTGCAAAGAACTTAGCAAAATTTCAAACAGGCATAGAGGAGGTCCAGTAATTCTCCAGCTACTAAAGAGCAGTAGTCTGTGCATGTAGCTGCTTGAAGATAGCAACCTGTGGCTTCCTTCCACTCGAGCTAATGAGACCTGATTGGGTTTCAAAGCTTCCAACGTTGCGGCAGGATGCTAAAGGAAATTTGTTCCTCTGGCCCTTTTTGAGTTACTGCCAAGTATAATAGACCCTCTGCCCTTTTTGAGCGAGGGAGCCTTCCTCTGTGTTTTCAGCTCTTTTAAAGCTAATAAAAATATTTGGGGGATGTGGGTTTTCTCATGTGGAAGAGGCTTCTCCACTGGACAGTCTTATTTAAATGAAGTGTCAACRTTTGGATAAATTTGCATGGATGCTCTCATATGGATTTAAGACAGCAGTTTTTGTTTCCAAATTGCTTTATATTCTGTTGAGACATTTCCCTCTGTGAGGCTTTAAAATAATATCAAATTTAAATGGTGGTATTTTGCCTTTATTTTGTCCAAATGTAAATGTTGAGGTTGTTAGGCAACRGAGAATCAGGTCCAGAGTGAAATTTTAACTTATCTGTCAATGAAAGAAATCCCCCCGAGGCTGTATAGGCATAATTTCATCTGCCTCTAAAATTTCCACTCTGCCTCTAATTATATATTTTGCAATACTTGCTCTGTTTTCCTCCTAAAGAGTAAMATCTTGGCTTTTCTCTTCTTTTTCAAGTTCTGCTATAGAAAATTGGCAAAACATTATGTTTGGTAGAATCTGTTGCAGGGAAAAAAAATCCATCAGTTACTACTTCTAGAAATCGAGTCATGCAAGGTTATCTTTTGCATCCAGCTGGAGGAATTTCAAGCTATGTAAGCAAGAGTTGCAGCATTTAAACTTATCCACTTTCTGGGATTGTGGCTTTTCCTTGCATTCTGCAAGACAGCTGAATACAGTTCTATTTATGCAACAAAAATTAGGTTTTGTGTGAGTACTGATTAGCTAACTTCAGATGAGGCTTTAAGGAGGTAAAACGTGCTATCAGCACTTCAGATTCATCAATGTAATTAATATGTTTTTAGGATTTGCCTCATTTCTGAAATCACCCTATTTGTTTGAAAAACCAGTTAATTACAGTCTTTCATTTTTGTAAATCCCCAACAGAAAATCCACACAAAACTCAAAATTCCTCAAATAGAGCATTAGTGAATATTTTTCTGTTTTGAGGAGCAGCTCAAAGACTCCCAAATATGCCTAACACTTGAGGACTTAGTGCCATTTCACATCAATTGCTGTAGGGATCTTGTATTGCTCTGCACAAAACTGATTTCATTTTATTACTGTACTGAAGGACACRGGAAAGAAGTACAAAAGTAGCCCACTTCAACTCCATGCTTCAGCTTTTTCCCACTTTTTTTTTTTTTCTTATCCAGGACATAAACTTGATACTTTGGAAGCAAATACAAGCAAACACTAGGGCACCATTCTGCATGTTTCAAGCCACTGTAGAACTGAATTAATTAGTTTATGGGCACTTTAGAATTATTTTCCATGGCTTTCTGCTCACATAGCCATGCACAAGTAAATGGGATTTATTAGTGATATTTGAAAAGATGAGAAGCCTTGTCCAGGAATGTCAATGAATTTATCATTATCATTTATCATATTCAAAATATCCACAATTTATATATGAACTTAAGTTCTGTTAGACCTACGTTCTGTTAGAACTTTCATTCTCTATATACAACAGGGATGATTTTTAATAAAACCATGGAGATAATTTTTATGTGACCTGTTCTACAGAATGACATGCTTATGCTTAAATCCTCATTGGAAGAGATATCATTCATTGTGGTAGTATACACAGACAGGATCCATATGCAATATAATGTTGACAAACTGGTATGGTAAAATAAGCATATTGCAGATTTTGCCCATTAGACAAGGTGGTCTGTTTTTTAAGCCTGAAAAATGTTAGGAGACTAACTACTAACATTGTGGAACCTCTTTTTACTTACACAGGTGGCTAGGAAGCATCTGGATCTAGAAAGCTGAATCATGGCATGGTGTGGAGAAGCTAATCAGTTAGAACATGAATTTTTATATCTCCCTTTCACGACGAGGGATCTGATTACGTGTGATATCATCAGAGGTCCACTGGAGTTTGCTTCAAATGGTGGAGAAGTCATGAAACTTTCCGAAGCAATATCTGTACTGGGCTACTGCAGATTTTGTGTGTTAACAGTTGAGGCATAATTATATCATCACTAAGGAGAGAGAAAAATATGGACTCTGAACTTGGATTCTCTGTATATTTTTACTTATCAGGTGCACCTTCTAGTTCTTATCAATAGAAATACTGCTCTGGAGATCTAGTTGAGAACCAGTGGGTTGAAAAGTTCAAACCCATTATTTTCAGCCAAATAGTACAAAACAGTTTCAAATACTTCTTTAAGGTTGGCTGCAAATTTGGTCTTCTGAATGTAAAAGCAGAATATGKTTTAAAGTTCTTCAGTAGTTACTAAACAAATACCTTCAACTCCATTAATGCAAAATTCTCATCCCTAAAGATACTGCATTACGCAAGGCATACATARAGTTTGGTTTATTTATTTATTAAGCGCACAAATTAAAGCACCTGTTGCTTTATCTTCTCTATTAAGGAAGAATGTCCAATGCCAGGAAATGATCTTTACTACGCTGAAGTGCAAGAACAGTGAGGAAGTAAATGAATGCTTTTCAGATACAAAATATATTTGGCAAGCATATGGMAAGACATTGAATTTCAATAGGAAATTGTGTCTGCAAAACATTGTTTGTTACCAGAATGCTGTSGAAAAGACAGATCATGATGACTGATAGAAGTCCCTGCAATGAACCCYGTACCCAGGCTGGCAAGCTGTTGCTCACACAAGTAGTTCCAATTTTTGCAGTTTGTTGGCTTTCTTCCTGCAGCATGGSAAGCCTATAAGCTGGCTCAAATCTTTAGTTATAAATCAATGTGCAGTTCATCAATATTTTCTCTGAGTGCTGGCAGGTGAAAAGATTAGGAGTTTATTAGTGGAACCTGAGTAATTGCAGCCACGTGACTACTCCATGGTAAATGAAGGGTAATTTGATTGAGTTTAACCTGTGATGAACAAACACCGAGCTCTGCTGGACTGTGCTACATTTAACACAAGCTGAAACCACACGTGTCAAGCAATGTGTCAGCCCAGTTGATGGATGGCAATTCTTTACACTTTGGTTAACTTGTAGGTCTGAGGCTTGAAGGAGCCTTTTTCTGGGAAAATCCTAAGTACAGAAGAGGGGGATTTTCAGAAGTGAAAGCATGGAACCTGGTGCAATAAATAGCTTCTGAGTGGGAGGATATCTGAGAATCCAAGTGTGCTTGGGGATACAAGAATATCTAGGAACTGGGAGAAATCCTTTCAAGAGCTGTTTGGAGGAGGAAAAAAAAAAAGAGAAAGTCTAAGTGGTTCAGGGAGATCACAAATGATACCAATGCTGTTTTTCCTGTACTTTGGACACTACTGTCTGAAAAATTTTGAGATTTCTTTGTTATGGCTTAAGGGCTCAGTCCATTGCTGTGTGCTTTATCAGAAAAGGCCATGAGATAACTATGGAAGTTTGCTCTGAACTGTTGTTTGCCTTTAAGTTTTTGGGTAATTATATCTGGGAAAGAWCTGAGAGAGACTATTGCTAATAGCCTAGCTAAAGTTTGGTTCTATATTTTTTGCAATCAATGTTTCTTTTGCATACAAGTATTTTTGAACTACTTTAATTGAGTCCACATGAAATCTAATGAGGAAAACGGCCATAAAAAAAAAAAAAAAATCCATTCTTTTAATACATTTATGCTAGAGTCTCTTGAATCCTTCCTTTCTGTGAGAATTTGTGCTCCCACTTAGAAATATTTAGAGCATAAGAACAGAGAAACTGATCACTGAGATAAAATGACAGATAAAGTATTAAGGCATAAGCATTCTTACACAGGGAAATAAGCTTCCAGCAGCCCTTCAGGATTGTACAGCTCTTTCTCCCAWCTCTGATTTTTGGGAGATGGTTTCTGCTTAGCCTCAAGGATGATGTGAAGATTTGATAAAGCAAAGTGATAATTTATGGTCCAGTTCCCTTAAATTCTTGCTCGAATTCAATGAAGTCACAAATATTCTGAGTTAGCTTTTAAAAATCTGTTTTCCCTCTGTCCCTGTTTTCATCATCCCTAAGGTAATGTCATGGATGTGTGGGTACGTTTATGTTCTCCGGGATGTGAGAGGTGCTAACTGCATTAACATCAAATGTATTCCAGCCAGAGCTAGGTCATTCCTTGTTCTCTTCTTTGAGATTTCGCAGAATACTGAACAGGGGTCATATATGCAGAATCATACAGTAATTTATGTGGRAAAGGACCTGTGGAGTCATCCATCCACACACTCCTCAGAGTAAGGCTAATTCAAAGGTAGGTCAGATTTTCATGGTTTTGTCCCGCTGAATTTTAAATATTTACAAGGATGGAGATTCCACAGCTTCTTCCCATGCTCAACCTCTCTATCAGTGCATTTTTTTCACTTTATGTCTAGTTGGAGTTTTTTTCTGAAAATTGTGACATTTACCTCTTGTCCATCTGTTATGCCTCTTTGAGAAGRTTCTAACCCTGTCTTCTCTTTAACCTGCTATTGGGTAGTTGAATACGGTAATTAGGACTATCCAGGTCAGGCTAATTAGGCTCAGCTTTCTCCATGTCTCTTTATTTATCATTATTTATACCCCAATATCCTGGTTGCCTGCTGCAGGACTTGCTCCATCTGGGAATCCCAAAGCTGGACGCTGTTCTAGGTGTGATTGCATCAGTACCAGATTGAAGGGAATGAAAAATGGTTGGTGTAACTTTATTCTGAGCGCACAATAAGATTCTGATTCTGAAAAAAAGATTGTAGTCTTTTAATTGCTATTTGAAGAAACTATAAATTAGTCTTGAATCTTTCTGAAGAAATAAATGTTGCAGCTCTACTTACTAGCTTCCACAACTTACACCATGATAAATTTAGTTCATAATAGAAGGAAGGTAATCCATGAATAAAAATGTATTAAGGATGAAGATTATAATCAAAATAATTTAGGATTTGTACTTTGCAAATAAAATGTTACAAATTAAATATAGAAGTAGGAAAAAAAAAAGAGCAATGGATGTGTAGGAAAGATAAATTTGCATGTTTGGCATTATCACTGATATGACAGCATAGTCTTAATTTCCTAAATGTAGGCATACCTGCAATGGAGATAAAAATGGATTTTTTTTTTCTAGTTTTGAATCATGGGAATATATTACACTTTGCTGCTATGATTTTTCCACTGAGGGCTAATGTAACCATTAACACTTGCAATTGTATGCCTCTGTTAGCACTCTGCCTGTCTGTATGAGTCGCTTCTTAGAGGGTGTCAGCTAATTGCCTCATTTGAGTGCAGTAGAAGTAAAGATATGTCCTGCAGTTTGCATGAGCTTATTGTCCCCAGGTCCTTCTAATGGTAGCAAATCACACCAGTCTCCTACTGTAAAACATTTTAAATTTGGAAGGCCAAAACTTGGCGTATAATTCCAAAGTCACAGGCCCTATGACTTGAAGAGAATCAACTGTGTAGATGTCACAGTCACRGCTGATCGTGTTGATGGATGGGTTTGTCTTGGGATCCAGCTGTTGTTATTAAAAAGGACATTATTAAAGAATATGGGCTGCGAAAGCACGTGCTAATTTATGCTTCCCAGAAAGTTATCATGCATGCTGTGGGAGAAAATGTACAAGAGATCTGCAAAATTTCTGCATGCTTTACAGGCTACTCTTCTGAGCGCTGTACCTCAACTTTCTGTACAGCTGAAAATACTTATATATTTTTTTTTCCTGTTGTATTGTGCAGTGTTTTCACTGCTACAACTTGCACTGCTGCAGGTATAGAGGTACTCTCACAGACTCTCAGAAAAGGGTTTTCAGCCAAATCATGCCATGGTAGATATACGCCTCTGCTAAACATGCTGCTTCTGAGGAGTGTGTTGCAAAACCAGCCAGGAGTCATGCAAGTGCAATGCAAAGGTAGAAAGCTGAATTTGTCCCTAATTACTTTTCAGAAGAAGAAGGAGAAGAAAAAAAAATCCCACAGGAAGGTCCAAGTTCAAAGTAATTTAAATTTGGTCATGAAGGACTGATGGAGGGCTTCTCATCAGCAAGGCAGTTCATTATCTGACTATTTATAGCATGCCATTAGCAAAGGTGATCCAACGAAAATAAGCGTGACACAGAGTCCACCATCTTGTTTTCATGTTCCGTTTGACAGCAGTCACTGGAAATTACCCTCGCGGGTTTGATAGGATTCCTGTGGCTAGCAAAAGCCGGAACGATTCAATATTATAAAGTATTTATAAGTCCCTAAGGCACATTTAGAGATGTCCCTGGCAACATCAATTTCCAGCCCGTTAATAGCTTTAAAAGCAGAACTGGAGACCTTTTCTAGTCACCAAAAGGCTGCAAGCGCTGACAGACAAGTAGCGAGTAGGCAGATGCCTCTCTGCCCACCTCTGATAGCAATCAAGTTGTTGCTTTGCACATTAGCTTCAGGGAATGGATTGGCCCTTTCGGCAGCCCACTATGAAGCACTTCGCAGTAATCTCATTTTGAGATCTCAAACGCATGAATCATCCAGGTCAAGAATAAATCCTGCTTGGAGGGCCAGATTCTTATCTTGCTTACTGCGGTGATGAATAGGGAGCAATTGCGTTAAGATAAATGGTGTTATGCAGCAGGATAAAATCGGTACGTGGGTAATCAGAATTGGGCCCYAAGGGTAAAAACTGCATGCTAATAAAAATTAGTTGGGGGAGGATGCATGGGTTGTTATGTATAATAGTAAAGAAGCTGCTACTTTCTTCTAACACTTGAGCTTCCTGACTTGGTAGCACTGGAATTTTCTTCTAACATTGGAGATAACRAGACACTTTCTTACAGTAGAGAAATGGCATGGTTCAAATTCAGCTCTATATTGAAGCTCCTAACTGACTAGATTCCTAGTTTTCATCGAATTCACTGGGCCTGCTTTGTGATTAAGTTAGAAGAATTTCCCACATTCTTGGACAAGCAAGCTGACATGAACATTTGAACTCATGCATGTTCCCATTCCATTGCTGCATGTTCATCTGGTTTGACATGAGCTGTCCCCTGGCCATGAGGTAGCCCCTCGTGTTGGGTACATTGAAGAGACAGTAGAGGTAAGAAAAGATGGACAGTGGACTCTACTAGTTGATTTTCTATATCCCTGGTCCTGCTGCCACTCACATCTGAAGGACTCAGGAAAAGAGGCTAAACTCAGGGATTGCTGGGTGAGCTCTTTGTGGAGGTCC